TATTAACTTGTTTGTTTTCTCATCTTTTGGTGAATGATTAAAATGATACGCTTTGTAAGTTTCTTTCTGATAATCACTCAACATGTCTGCTGATACACTCATAATTTCATGTGCTAATGGATAATCAATGTGCTTGTCGTGGCATTCTTTCGGATATTCTAAATCAACATCTAAGATATAACCTTTACTACTGTAATTACTATTGTAATATTTAATGTCTTCTTCTGTAAAATTATCTTTCACAAATTTAATATTTTTGTATGGTAGTTTTTTACACATTGCTAATCCATAAAGGTTATTAGCATCTAAATATGTAATGTATGATGATGGTTTTGTTTCATCATAATCATCGTTCATATACTTATTGTTCGCTACTGCTTTTCTCATTGAAACTTGGCACATACCGCCTCGTAATCCTTGCTCTACCATTATATAAACTTCTTCATCGTGTAGAAGTTCTAACTCAATTCCTGTTTTCAATAACATCGCGTCCCAAGCAAAGTTAGGCAAAGTGTAATAATGTGCTGGGTCTAATTCATAATCAGTTAGACATTGTTTTCTGAAATTTTCATATACATCGGTTAAAAATAATACATCGGTTTCTAAATATAAATCGTGATATTCACCAAGGTTTTTAATGTTAAAGTGTTTCCAAATTAATTTTGCTCTTTCGTAGTCTGCGTCGCTTATATCTTCTTCACTTAATCTACTGTAAAAATGTTTCTTTTCTGGTAGTTCAGTGTCATTAAATTTATTGAAGTCATTACAATAATCATAAGGATAAACTCCCTTTTCTGTCAGTAAAAATAAATCTTTTTCGTTTTTAATGTATTTGCCTTTGAAACTATATTTAAAATGTTCCTGCCAGTTGTCCCTCAATTTACTATCTTCATATTTTGTTAATTTAACCAGTTTTTCTAACGACGATGATAAGAAACTGAAACTGTCCTTAAATTCAAGTCTGTTCAATGAAAAGGTAACAAACTTTTCACTGTTCTGTGCTATTACTGATATTTGTTCTTTCTTTGTGTTTAACTTTTCAAGATTTGATATTACGAGATGAGCATCATAGTTTTTAAGATTACGAAAAAATACTGGTATATGATATTTTTTAAAGCAATAGTCTATATTACATTTCATATGCGCCGCTCCTCTGTATAATCCTGTGAAGTGGCAATGGTCAGCAACTTTCTTTTTCGCTTCTACTCTATTGTCAAAAGCGCGGTTGCATAAGAAACACTTTTTAGCTTCTAAATGTTTAATTTCATCTAAATCTGTCATATCAATATCTTTTGGATGTTTTCATTTTTTCCATCACATCGTCTCTAATATTATTCAGAGTATCACAAATTTATCCATGCAATCTTCACCTCTGTATAAATACGGTGTCATTTCTCCAATATATGCATTTACAAGGTTAAGCATATAACCACTTGGTTTATGGTTCTGATAAGTCCCTTTTATGCCATCTGATGTTTCTGTTGTTAAACATTCAAAATCACCGTAAATAACGAATGGGGCTTTAAGTTTCTTGAAATGCTTTTCAAACTTCATTGATGTTCCTTCTTTTGGCATTTTTGTTTGTTGAATGTCATTTGCCATACAACCTTTTGATATGTGAGCATTTAAAAGCTTTTCTGATTGAACACCGTGCTGACAGTAAATACAATGAAATATCTTTGTTTTGTGATTGTTGGTTTGACTACCCATTAATCTATTATAATCTTTTATTAAAACATAATGTTCATTATCATCTTTTTCAATTCGTAATAGATTGATATGACAAGATGGTCTTTCAATCTTCGTTATTCTGTCTGCTCTGATGGTTTGGTTCTCATCTTCAACATAAACATTAACTGATATAGAATTTTGGTTAATTGTTTCAAATGTGTCGTCATCGTTGGATGCTGGACAATTTACACCAGCCCATTTAATTAGACTTTCAGTAGTCAATAATTTCTTGTAGTGTCTCATATGTTGTGGATGGTCTTTCTTGAAGACTTCATAAAATTTACATAAAACGCAGTATTTGAAACATAACTCATCTTCGTTCTGAATGTTGATACACGCCTTTTTCTTTGAAATCCATGCTGGTAGTTCCATATATTTACCTGCTCTGTTCGGATTGTATTTGTCGTAGTGGATGGTGATTTTAACAATCTTCTTAATCTTTAATCCTGACCTTTTCAACTGTGAGTTTTCAACTTGTAATTCAATATCTTTCGGCATATTTTCCAATGCCTTTTTCAAGTCTCCTACATTCAAAATGTTGTATCTCCTGCTCCTGATTTTGTGAATGACATCCTCTTCTTCTTCGGGGTGTTCAAAAGCAATATTACATCAATCAGTAGCTTCATTGATTTTGCTTGTTGTAAAAACTCTGTTAGTTTCTTTTCTTGCCACAAGAGATATGTTAATCCTTTGTATCCTTGAAATGGGATGTTGTATATTGTATATGTGTTTGCATAGCCATTCAATGCCGAAAATGTGTCTGATGTTTTGGCACCTATCTTTAACCTGTATTGTTTGATTGTATTAATTCCTCTCAATGCCTTTGCTGACTTCTGTAAAAGGTGGTGTCTTTTGAACTCTTGTGTTTTTGATACTTGATTAAGTTTGTTTTGTAAAGATGTTGAGATGGGTTTTTCTTTGTTGTAATAATATTCCTTGTTGTTTATAACGAGTTTTTTTAAAGGCTTATTGTTCTTCCCTGTTTTTATGTTTGCTTCATTATTGGATATTAGATAATTGATAACGTAACCTGCTTCAAAATCCCCTGCCATTTCTCTAACAATATATAAGGCATTTTTTCTCTTTAAGTCTTTTTGGGTTGGGGTTTTGTTGGTGGGTCTGGTTTTTGTGGGTTTGGGTTCAACGTTGAAATGTGGGTTTGGGTATGAGTTTGAAACTGAAACTGATGAAATTGATGTGATTGTTGATTTTGGGGGAGTTGTGAAATGGTGGATTTTGCCCTTGTTTTGTTGGTTGGTGGAAAGTGGAAATGTCGGATTTTATGGAAAGATGCCCTTAAATTTGGGGTTGGTCTCAAACATCACAACATCATAGGGTATGATGACAACATCATAGGGTATGATAAAAAACATCATAGGGTATGATAAAAAAAACATCATAGGGTATGATAAAAAACATCATAGGGTATGATAAAAACATCATAGGGTATGATAAAAACATCATAGGGTATGATAAAAACATCATAGGGTATGATAAAAACATCATTTGCCTCCACAAATCAAAGTGGAAGAAGGTAAGGACGAAGCACGGGCGGAGCCGACGGAAACCCAGAAAGCCTTAAAATGGTCTGAAACCTGAACCTTGAAAATGTTAAATTGTTAGACTGTTATTAAATGAAAAATTGCAAAACAAATGAGAAATGTTTTAAGGGAATGACCCTTTATAACATTAGGAATAAATGACCGAAGAAATGAAACAATGCTCTAAATGTAAAATGAAAAGGACACTTGATAATTTTGAGAACGAAAACAAAACTGTAATGTTTGTTTAGAAGCAAGACGAAGATATAGACAAAAGCAGAATGATACGATAAGTCAATATAATAGAGAATCTTTCCAAGAACATAAAACTGAGTTGTTAATCAAATCAAAAGAAAAGCGGGAAGAATAATATGTAGATTGCTTTTATTGTAATGATATAGTAAAAAAATATGATATAGGCAGACACGTTAAAAGTTTAAAGCATATTTCAAATATGGAAAGACTACATAATAAAACTGACACATAATAATAATTTGTTTATTCATATTATGTTCTTATAATATGATTAAAACACTTGTATCCCCCAGAAAGCCGTAAAATGGTCTGAAACCTGAACCTTGAAAATGTTAAATTGTTAGACTGTTATTAAATGAAAAAATGTAAAAACATTTTTGAGAAATTTTAGAAAAAACCCCACAATCCCCCTTGGTGTTTTGAACAAAATGATAGGCTTGTTGAAAATGAACCCTGAACCCTGAAACCCTACATTGAAAATTCCCTACCCCAGGGGCCCCCTATTACTAATTTTTCCCCAACCCCCCCGCGACTTTTTAGATGTTCTACAGAGATTTAATGGCACCCCTACTTGAATCATCACTTCTTCGAACATCATGGGGGGGCCTGCCCCAACCCCCCCGCGACTTTCTAGACTTTCTGCAGTTCAAACAGCATGGGGGGCCCTCCTATTTGAATGATGAGTTTGTTTGACCCCGTCCACAATTGTTGGTGATGCTGGGGATGTTGGTTGGACATGCGGGGGATGTTGAAAATAATGCTGGGGATGTTGACGGGCTAGTGTAAAATACGTCAATTTCGCGAGAAAATGCTGTACAATACGGCATCTTATTGGCCAAGACGAAAAACGAGAAAAACAAAAACAAAAAACAAATCCTGAAGCAAAACAAGAAAAATCCAAAAATAAATCCGCACCCAAATGGAAACAAGGACTAACACCTGCTTCGATGTCCTGGTGGTGACTGATTTTGACTCACACCCAGATGCTTTGCAGGGTCCAAGGACATATGAGTACTGGCCAATATTTACCAGCTACTCCGGCTTCTGGACACCGCGAAAAATCTTCTTCCCAGGGGCCTTTAGGTCAAGTCTGAACGGACTCAGACTTCGAGTCGAACAAATTCTCTTACAATGCCAACACCATCACCAGTGCCAATAAAATAACAATGATCTGCAAAACCAGAGACATACTTGATACATGTTGCATTGTAAATTGATGTTGTTTAACTCCTAGTTCAAATAAATGATCACCAATATGATTATTACAATAATAATATATCACTGATATCACCTTTCTTTCTTAAGTTTTGGCTTAAGCAAAACCATTTCCCCCGAGCTGTTGGACCCCGGAACCGGGCTTGAACCAAGGGAGATCTTTTCAAGAGGATGTCTTCGGGCTCCCTGTGCACTTCGGGGGCAGATTTCCTCCGGGAGAACGAGGAGTTTGGCACATCGAGATATGCCGCTTCCGAGGCCTTCGCAGGAGGCAGTCGGCGCCTTTAGCTTCGCTGGCCATTGGGTTTTGGGACCCGGAGCGAGGCCCTTATCCCTGAAGATGGGTGCAAACAGAGCCTGGAGGGCTTGGTTGACACTGGCCACAGCGGCGAACTTTTGCCATTTGTTTGTGTGGTTAGACCTCACTTAGATTCCCTTGTTCAGCTTGCTGAATAGCTCAGATGTGTTCTGGCTTGGGAATCAAGCAGGTCTCGGAGAAGCCAACTGACCTCTAGACTTCCCGAAGGTCAAAAATAGCCTTGCCATTTTTCCCCAGCCAATTCGTCAACGCAACAAAAAGCGGTTTGTTGAACGCCTCAGGTTCCATCTGAACGCGTGTGGACCCTCACACATCCTCCCGAAATCCGAAATCCCATCGCTCAGGTCAACATGGCTTGAAGCCTCTGGAGGAGCTGTGAGCTCCCACCTGCAGGTTGCCTAGCGGTGGCTTGAAGGTTTTGCAACCTGATATGTACATAAGTATACAGAAGCACATATATATATATATACATGATGTAAATATGTATATATATATATATATATGTGTATATATATATATATATTATAATACATTTGTATGCATATATACATCTATTTTTCTACACATTGTATACATATATATATATATACACATGTAGACATAGGGTGCCCCCCCAAAGTGTAAGGGGCCCCTCAGAAAACATCATAAGCTAATATGAGGAAAGGTTGGCAAGAAGCATTCTCGGCTTGAGAAAGGCGGGCAAGAATTGCCGAGACACACCTAAGAAAATCCATGCTTGGGTGTTCAAGCCACTTGGTCAGCAGGTTATGACTATAACCATGAATATTTAAGCGGACTAAGAACAGCACTTCCATATATATATATATACATGGTTATGACCTACTTATTAAGTTTTTTGAACATCCAAGAAGGGACCCTCTTTTTGTGGGTTACACATGATTATCCGCCTTTCTTCAAAATATGGTCCCGGGACTTTCCACAGGGTTTCTGTGGACATTTCACCTGGTGATGTGGGTCTGCACCAAGTCACCCGTGGGCTGATAAGTGCTTGTGCCCAAAGCGCGACTCCCGTGAAAACATCCGAAGGCTTGTATAATTGCTCCCCCAGACCCTTCCCCGCTTCAATTGAGGAACACGGCTTCTTTGGCTTGGTTTCCACTAACCCCAGAAAAATCAGCCACAGACGACGGCAAGTGTTTTCATTGTCGACGTCTCCGGCCCGGTGAAAAGTCGAGCGCCCGATTTCCAGTGATGAATGGATGGTGCCTGGTTTCACAGGGGGTGTAATATGTATGTGTATATATATATATATTGTATACAGATATGTATATAGAACTCAACCATTCTAGGTTTTGGCCGCTCATTTGTGTTCCAGACATACAAAAACCCAATATGACGAGTTTCCTCTTTTTCCTGAAGTGGGTCCTTTCGCGTGAGGACTCTCTGGTGACGAGGCGCGTTCTTTTTCACCTTCTGCACTCAGATCTTGCCACTTCCAAATACAATATTGCAAATGCTGAACATCGCGGGGAATAAAAAGAGCGCCAAATTCTTGTCGTCAGACGGGGGTTTACCAAAAACAGGGTGTGGCTTCCCTTTGCATGCGGGAAAAAACAACACCAAAAAACACACACAAAAACCGCGCCAGGCAAGCGCGAGGGCCGAAAGTGGTGACTCGGAGGTGGGGCGATTTCGAGGTCAAGGGCAGGTCGGGGATAGGCAGGGGGCTGTGGTTGCATGCGACACACACAGGGTGACACCGCCTGCATCAGGGCCCATGGGATTTGTTCCTATGCCGGTTAAGCGAAAGGAGGAGGGGATGCGCAACATGGTCCTTGAGCCTGTTGTCCATGGCACAAGTTTGACTTAGGTTGACTCTGGTCAGGTGAAGAGGTTTGGAAAACCCACCGATGGCGTTCCGAGCCTTTTTCCTCAAAGGATAGAGCAAAGTTCAGATTTCAAATCCGCTCGTGGATTGGCGGCACTTGAGCCCAATGGAATTGGAAATCCACTTGCGGAAGCTGGGAAGTTGAGCTCGAACGCCAGGGGGCCGAGCCCGTACTACAGCAACGAGGATCCGTGTGAGTGAGCGTCTCTCTTTTTCGAGGCTCAGTACATTTTGTTGCCTGCTGGCATTGAAGGGAACGCCCATTTGACAAGCTTTCGTCACCGGTGGACGGATCTTGGGCACTGCTCCCTTGACTCGCAGAGTCTCCGCTCAATTGGTTGGGAGTCGGTTTGCAGAATTGGGTCTGTCTTTCGCAGGGAGGTTTCTTACGTTGATTTAGACGGAAACCAAGAGGAGAACCACCAGTTTGGGGGACCCTTAACACCACCCAAAAGGATTCTTGTTGCAATTCATGTTCCTGCTTGCACCTTTTCCTCCTTTCCCGACTTTTAAAGTCAGCTTTGGAGCTCCAGACGAGCTTTCACCGACACTTTCTTGGTGTGCCTTGCATTTTGCCCGGTGTTTTCCGGTGTTTTCCGGTGTTTTCCGGTGCTTTCCGGTGTTTTCCGGTGTTTTCCGGTGCTTTCCGGTGTTTTCTGGTGTTTTCTGGTGGATGCCGCGTCTTGTCGTCGCCATTTCACCCGGCTTCCCGGCTCCCACGCGGTCTTTGGTCGGGCCATTTCCCGCGCTCGACTCGACTCGACTCGAGGACCGCGAGCGCCTGGCGCGGGACAGGAAGGAGAAGCGGGACTTCGCGCGGGGCCACACCAAGGCCTCGGGTCCAAAGGGTCTTCGGGTCCTTTTTGGTGGGAGTCCCGATGTTTTTCCCCTTTTTGGTGTTTTTTTAAGCATCACCTTCTTGGTCCAAAGGTGAGTATCCCTTGGGGGTGATGTTTTAAGGGGAAATATAGGGAGCTCTGTTTTTGGTGGGGGACCCATTTTGTTCAAGAGGCCGGAAACGGGTCTTGGAGACTCTAAAGGCGATATGGGTGTGGGTCAAAATGAAACCAGGAAATGGACCGCAGGTCTTAGCCCATGTTTTGTTTATTGGGGCAACCCATTTGGGTATCTTTTGTTGACAGCCATTTGGTTGAACAATAGAGGACGATTCCTGGTTTACCTGGTGGCTCAATCAGTTAGGGACACCCATCAATGTTCCCGAAAAGGACACCCATGGTCTTTGGAGGTTCTTTGGGTTTCTTGGGGCAAGGTGAGCCCTGCCCCAGTTCCATCGCTTGAAGATCCAAGGGTGCTCTTTTCGAGGTGATGAAGAGCTCACTTTCGAATATCATGTCGACTTGTCGAACAGGTTGGTGACCTTTTTCTGGCCAACCCACGTGAAACCAAGGACTCTATGTGCGTAACAAAAGAGCGATGCTGCGGTGCTGAGGGGCCCCCCCCAACCCCTCCAAACCCCCCAACCTCCACCCCCCCCCAAACCCTTCCGAAAGCAGAGGTGGACCAGAGCCACGTGCCCTCCGCGGACCTCGAGAAGCTGCCGCCCCTGGAGGAGACCTCGGGATGGTCCATCGGTGGTGCGAGAAACGGGTCGACCGGTTGATGCAAAGGGCACCCGAAGAGATACATAGCTGCAGAATAATAATGGTTAATAACAATAATGATGATGATGATGATGATGATGATGATGATGATGATGATGATGATGATGATGATGATGATGATGATGATGATGATGATGATGATGATGATCATCTTCAAGTATATATATATATATACACATATGTGTGGAGGTTGATGAATTGGCATTCGAATGAGCATGGGTAACTTGTCTCATTTGGTGGGAAAGATAGTCTTTTTAGAGGCTTTTGCCCATGTAAAGGACCTTGTGATCACCCCCCCCCCATGTACACGTACATACTTACATATATATATATATATGTATGTAGTTATATATATATATATATATATATACATGTATTATGAGAACTTCGTGGGTTTTCTTGGAAGCTTTCCACAGCCAGACCGGGTTTTCCACATGTTGGCTTTTGCAAACTGGGTGTTTACTCTTTTTTTTGTTCCTCGGGGGGGCTGACACAACTTGACTGGATATGTTTTGTTCAACCTCTGCCCAGGCACTGCGGGACGAGAAGCATGTAGTCCTTTGGGCGGCTATTCCTGGATGGGCCAAAGCCAAGGGACAATCCCCCAAGGCCTGATCAATGATAATTAGCCGCCACAGCCCCCATACCGTGGATGGACGAAATCCTTCACCACCAACGAAGCCACGGAAACCATTGTTTGCTGGTATTTACAAGGGCAGGGTTTCTCAGGTGGTGCCGAAATGAACTTTGCCATCCACAGGTCAATGAACATGGCGCCTTTTCTGGCAGGAGATCTACAGCAGGGAATACTCCGGGGACGCTGATGCGGATCCGATTGGCGGTCGCAAAAGGCGCGCCAAGCCGGGCGAATTCGCCTTCGGCCCGGTCGAAATGACGAGCTTGGGCAGGTTGTTTCATCTCCCTATTCCCGACATCCGCCTTGAAGAAGCCAAATGCCCAAGGGTGTAACGGTCCAACCATTTGGTGTTTTTGCCTGCCTTTTTTTTTGCAGCGCAGAGCTTTTTTGAGGGTTTTGTCAGGGTGTCTTCAAGAAGGCTTATTTGTGCCAGGCCCCTTTGTTTCAACCGCTATTTTTGTTTATGCCAGCCCTGCGTTTGGGCACCTTGGCTTGAAGATCAACATCCTTTCTCGAGGGCAAGTCTGCAGGGGGGCTCTGTTTGGGTCCCAAGCGCCGCTCACAAAATGGCCGCTGATGTGATGTCACTCCAGTTGGTGTTTGGAGATGTATTGGGGCAACCGGATACGTCAGCTTTGGTCAGATTCCGTCTGTTGCATCATCGGCCTGCGGCATTTTCTTCTTTCTTCGGAAAGATCCGGCGGAATCAGATCATTTGTCGTTCGAGGACTAGGGGGTCTCACTCCTCAATTCGCATGTCCATGGTGGTCGCCGCGTATTTTGACCGTGATCCGAGGTACCTCTACCTGGTCATGTTCAAGCAGCCCGCGATGCCTGAGCCTCGGGCTCCGCTTAAGGCCCACAGAAGCGGAAGGCCCACAGTGGATCAAAAAGGTCAGCACGACATGGGATGGATTTCATCGCTACAAAGGTGATATTTCAACCACATGGGAAAGAAGGGAAAAGTGTCCCATGGTCAAAACTGGGGGCCATCTTTCCATTCGCCAGCTCTTGGGCCGAGCTGTTTTGGCGTGAACTGAGGACGACCGCAGTGGCCATGAAGCAAGTCATCGCGGGGTACTGGTACTTTCTGTCGCCGCGCTCCCATGCGAAGCGTCGATATTTTCTCAAGCCGAAAGGGCGGACAGTTGGGTACGAATGGCTTGCCTTCGAGTTTGTTTGTTTGGATTTTTCCACAATGCCAATACGGTCTTTGTGAACGGAAGGCTTGTGAACATGCGCCGTGTCGGGACGCAGAGTTGCGCGAGAGGGCCCGAAGGGTTTGATGGCTGCAAGACAATAAAGCCCAAAAACAGGGTCGCTAAGAAAATCGTTTTCCTTCCTAAAGGGGAAGTGTTTGTTCGGGACCTTGCAGTTGCCCAAAATCAGACCCCGAGCAGAACACGTTTCCTGTTTTTTGTTGGAGCCATTTGCGGACAACTGGGCAAAATAAAAACCTCGCGACAGTGCTTCATGGTTTGCGACCAGAGCCACTTGCTCAAAACCAGGGGATTGCTGAAAGTTAGCAAGGGACCATCCCCTTGCCATAAATAGCTGTGGATATCCGCCTTAGGTCTTGAAGCATGGTTCTGGGCTTGGACCATTTTTGTACTGATCGGTTTTGAGCAAGTGACTCTAGAGACTGAGGGAGGACGGGACGGGGTGGGTTTTTGGTGCTTTTCCTTCAGGAAGCAGATGTCCTGCAAGGACATCCAGATCAGGCCCAGGACGGGACCCAGCCTTCCACTCCTTAGATCAAGGGTGTCCGCAGGAAACGACGAAGGAAGATGTGGCTGTGGGTCAAAAATAGGGCAACCCCAAAATGGGTTGCGCTGTCAAATGGAAACGTAGACTAAAACCTGCAGTTTCTGGGTGACTTCATTTTGACCCATACCCAAGTAACGTGAAAGGGGGCGACCATGGTTTGGACCAGCAAATGCCGCGTTTGTTCACCCGAACAAATGGTTTCTGGCTTCCTCTCGCAACAAAAGAGCTTATCGTTTCCAAAAAGGAATCCTGGGATTCCCATTCAAAGTCAGAGTTGAAGCCTCGCTTTTGCAGGAAGGCCGAAAACGGGAATACCGTCACAGAGCTGGAGTATGAGATGAAAGAGTACGGCGAGGCTCGTTTTTGGATCCCGCAAGTGGCTCTTACCCGCTCCCAGCTCCAGTTTTTGGGGTTTGCGAAGATGTTGATCCCAGAGGTCCATTGAGCAAACAGGAAGTCCGGGTTCGAGCAAACAGCGCTGGGCAATGCTTGTAGCGTGGAACTGTTGTAACTCGTCTTGAGGATCCCAAGCAGAAACGGGTCATCCTGTTAAGACCTCTTCGGAACATGTGGCCGTGGGTCAAAACCGTTTTGGTACCAATTTGGTTGGTAGGTGAATTCACCACCCATTTTAGAACCTATTTTAGTGGGGATTGGGATGTTCTCCTGGGGGTACGGGGTTTTGATCCATGGCCATGTATTTCCCTAGGCCGTGGTTCCGGATGTCTCGATCCGAATGTGCCTCGCCAGATTCCGAGAGAGACGGGCAAGAAGGAGAAGTACGGCAAGGACTCCGCGTCGCAGCCGCCGAGTCCGGGTTTGTGCTTTGTTTCAAAGGCGCAACTTTTGGATTAGGGCGACCAAACTTGGTGGCTCCCATCCGCTTAGCTTTCTAGCCTTTTAGTGTTTAGTGGTAGTTTCCATTTGACTCACTAAAAGTTAAACTTTTAGTGGGGGATCTGAGGGCAGCCCAGCAAAAGGAACCATTAGAAGCCCGTCTTCGGAGGCTTCTGCTTCTTGGCTGCGTCCTCTCTTTGGGAAGGGTAGATGGGAAGACTTGGCAGTGGGTCAAAAATTGGTACGGGTCCCAAATGCAATTCTGGTAGTGGAATGAACGATTTAACCTGCGGTCCGATTCCTGGTGGGCATAGGTGTCCTTTTTAGGTTAGTTTGATGAAAATAGATGGGTCCCACTGGTTTAGGTGGGGTTTCTTCCATTTGCCAGGGCCGTCCATTTTTCCAAAAGGTGCTGGTGGGTTTGATTTTGACCGTTTGACCCACTTGCGAGGCCGTCATGATGGAGTTCAAGTTCAAGGCTCCCGCGCTGGCCCCAAGACCTTCGTCTCTCTGGAGGTCGAAAACTCGAAGACTCCCGGAGACAAAGGGGTTTGCAACCTGGCTCTTTCAACATACCCGCCTTTTCTTCTGAGTTTTCATGGGCACCTCCCAAGACAAGTTGTCTTTTGTCCTTTCTGCAGGGGTTGACATATCATCCCCCCAAAGAAAGGACAGCCCTCCCAAACCCGTCCCCTGGAGTATTGCCCATGGTTCCCCCTTCCCTAGGTGCTGCATCACATCTCATCGCCGCATCGAAGCATCATCGAGCTCGGGCGTTCGACCTTTAGGTTTCAGCCACGCAGTACATCCAGAAAAAGCTCTACAACGACAACAATGTCCTGAGGCACGAGAAGGGCGAAGTGCTTTCGCTCTCCCCCCGAAAGGCTTCCGTGGTATACACGGGTATGGGTCAACAAGGAACCAGCAGGGGACCGCAAGTTTTGGTCCGTGTTTCCACTTAGCAGGGTTCCATTTTGGGTACGCATTTTTGACCCACAACCACATCTTGATGCGTACCTCTTTTGCTCAGACAGAAACCCCCCCCCCCATTTTGGCGGTTGCAGGCGAGGGGGCCTTTAGCTCGGGTTGGACGGAAGGCTCACATTTGCAGAGACAATTTGAAGCAAGTCGACAGAATATATCCAGGCTCCAAGCCGCTGTCAACTTGGCAAACCCCGGTCTTTGGTATGAAGCGCCCCAGCAAAAAGGACGTTTCCTATTCCAATCAGTCGATAGTCCTTTTTAGGACCGAGCGCCCCATTCAGTTGGGAAAAGGTGACCCGACCGGCGGACTCCATGAATGCCAGCCATTCTCCAGCCGTGGCTGTGAAGATTTCTGAGCCTCTGGCTACCCTTCGGTTTCCGTTTAAGCTCATCGCATCCTTTTTGTTATGGACACACACACACACACACTCGCCCTCGTGACACATGGCTTGCCGGGGACTTCGAAGAGGCCTTGGAACGGGTTTCGGTCCCGAGCCACGTAGTTGCGACGTTCGGAGAGCTAGTGGCCTCGTTGTCCTCCCAAGGCCTCCTTTTCCGATATGGGTGTGGGTCAAAAATAGGTACCCAGAATGCAACCCTGGTGAATGGAAGCATGGACTAAAACCTGCGGTCCCCTGGTGGTTAATTTTGACCCACACCCATATCTGAGCCTTTAGAGTCTCCAAGACCCGTTTCCGGACTCTTGAACAAAATTGGGCCCCACCTACACCTGCCTGCCTGCACCCCAGCCGATCAAAAGTCTTTGTGCAGCTCTAACCGGGTCCATGAAAGTGACATCCTCAAGGAAAACACCTTCTCAAATGGTCAATTTTGGATGCCACCCCCAAAGCTTGGAGAGGAGGCTAAGCTGGTTTAGCAGCGGGGTACGTGCTAACAGCTCGGCTTCTCATGTTTTAGGTAGTGGGGAGGACTCACCGACCCGACCCCACCGCCTAACCAGCACAGGCAGGAGGTGGTTTCCGCTTCCGGCGAGGTTCATGGCCCTCTCGCTGACCCGAAGCTTCGCCCACGCCTGGGAGCTCGGCGGTCGGTGCGGAGGGTTCGGTTCTTCTTGCGAGCGATTGGTCGATTTCTTGCGTGTGTGGCTGGGGATGGTGGAAATCAGTCAAGGATTGGTCCATGTTTTGTTGTTGCATGTGTGGGGCTGGAAGAATCGGGCTTGACAGCCCGGGCTTTTCTTTGGTCGCATGTGCTGGGCTGGGTGAAAGTAGCCAAACAAGCGGGCTGGACAGCCAAAGGTCCCGGGCTTGTCCTCCTGGTCTGATGGGGATTATACAGTCAGGATGTTTTGTTTCTTTTGGGGTGCTTCCATGAAAAACACTTCCAATAGTTTTTTTTTTTTTTTTCAATTCAATCCATTGTTGGCAGGTGGTACCAAGGCAGTTTCCCGAATGTGGCAAAGTAGGCATAGGGGTGCATTGGCTGAGGCAGCTGGGTTTGCTTTCTGCCTTTCGGTCAAAGTTCTGGTTGTCGTTGGTCTTGCAATATCCACAGCAAAGACCATGACCCCTCCCCAACGGTCCAACGTCCTTCAGGGATTTCCAACGCAACTCGCTTCTGGGGTTCAGGAGGCTTGGTCGGATTGCACATTTCTCTGACATCGTCAAACCCAAAGCTGCCAACTCACCCGTATGCCTCCCACGTCCACAACTTAGCAGTCCCAACCCCTATTCAGAATAGAACGGACCAGCCTCCGTATGCAGGATTCCCATCCCAAAGCGTCCTTTCCGCAACAAGCCGCGGGCGAGCCGCGAGACGCCTCTGACCGCAGCTCACGCCTGGCCGGCTTGCGCCCGGCGAGCCCGGTTCTGAGGTCGGCGAGGACAACGAGCTGCTCCTCTGAGGCGAGGATGTGATCACTGAAACCAGCGGGAAGGGGGAGATTTCTCCCAAAAAAACAGTCGGGTCCGTTTGAGGCTCGTGTCATTTTTTTGCCGGGTTGAAAAGGGGGTGGATTTGGACAACCTGGTGCAAGGCTCTTTTTTGAAGCTCGGAGCTGTTTATAGGCCCTACATGGGCTCTAACAAACGGGTTGTCGCTCTTGCACAGGGCATGACTCAATCATGTGTGTTTTCGAAAGGGACTCATTTGCTCCAACCCATTTATGTTCACCTTTTCCAAAATGCCGGGCTCCGGTTGCGCAGGCTGAGACGCGCGCCCAGGAACTTCTCACTTTTTTCGCGGCCGCGAGTTCGCTTCCGGTGGAGTTCTCTGCTGGCTTGGAGCCAACACATGGGCTATGCAAAGGCAAACAAATGGAGTACAAGCAACATATGGTTGAATTAATTTACTCTAATCTTATCTAAACTGATCTAGTCTAAGACTAGTCTTAATCTTATCCAATCGAATCTAATCTAGTCTAACCTACTCCAAATGTCTATCTATCAATCAACAAAAACAGATCAACGCAACTCAAGTATTATTCAGTCGTTTTCCAGCCATGTCGATCTTCATCGATCTATATCTATCTGAATATTCATGCTGCAATCTAGCCGTATCTATGTCTAGCTTGATCAACACAGATAACTCCGTATGCTATATGCATGTACAAATTCATGTGCATATATAGGAAGGATGGAAGGAAGGAAGAATGGATGGATGGCTGGCTGGCTGGTGTATGGGTGGGTTGCGGGGTGGGTTGTAGGTAGGCGAGTATGTACCAGTGGGTTTTTGGGTTGGTGGGCAGGGTGGGTAGGTAGGTAGGTAGGTGGGTGGGTGGGTGGCTAGGTAGGTGTGTAGGTAGGTAGGTAGGTAGGTAGGCAGGCAGGCAGGTAGGCAGGTAGGCAGGTAGGTAGGTAGGTAGGTACGTGGGTAGGTAGTAGGTAGGTGGATATGCAGGTAGATAGACACATGTGTAAATTTGTGCATATATCTATCTATCTATCTATACATATATATATATATATATATATGGTCACCCTTTCCCAAGATCCGCATGTTACCTCTTGCAAGCAAAAACACTGGAAACACACAGGTACAATGCTTGTGGTGTTTGACCACCAGGATAGGCATCTTGAAGCAGATGCTTGCAGACGGTTTGTGTGGACGGCCTTCTGGACAATTAGTTAGCAGGGTACAGATGGAGCTTATTATGGAAGCAGCATGCAGAAAGTGCTGCATTCATGGCATTTGTGCCTCCCCAATGTGCTGAATGGCTTGCTCAGTCATTCGACAATGCAAAACTAGATGGAAGCTGAATCTTGGAGGAGGCTAGCGAGCACACAGATGGCCTGAAGATTCTCTACCTTGACACGCTGATGCTTTGCACTGTCCCTAAAAACTAGGCTTTGGAGGCTGGAAGTGCTGTATTGTCCCAAAAAGGAAACCTAAACTCTCATGCCAGAATTAGTCTTGGGCACCCAAGACAAGCTTGAGAGCGCTTTCTAGGGACAGTAGCAATTGGACGAACATTTAGTGACAATGCCTTTTGTGTACTGTCCCTGAAATTTGTGCTTTGGAAGACAAAAGTGCTGCACTGTCCAAAAAAACTTCAATATCCCATTGCAGGACACAAGCCTCATTTTTTTCACTTTCAGCCTCCAAAGCCTAGATTTTAGGGACAGGACAGCACTTTTCAGAAAGGGCTGTACTGTCCCTAAAATTTGTGGTCTGAAGCCATTCTTTTTGGGCAGCATATTTTTCAGCATCAACACGCAGAAAGTGCTGCGCCGTCCCTAAATTTGGTCTGGCAGGCTAGAGTTTAGGGACAGTGCAGAGCATCAGCACGCTACAAAGTGCTGAGCCTGTGCTTTGGAAGCAAAAAGTGTACGGTCCCTAAACAGTGCTTCAGCCCGTGGTTTAGATGTTCAAGACTAGTTCTGGCATGATTTTTTTGGTTTTCTTTTTCGGGACAGTACAGCACTTTCAGCCTCCTCCAAGATTCAGCTTCCATCTAGATTGGCATAGTCGAATGACTGAGCAAGCGATTCAGCACGTTTCGATTCCATTTCATTTCCTCGCGTCCATCCATGTCTTTGTCGATGTTTTGACTACGCAAATGCTACGGGTGTGCGTCAGACACAAATGACTTCATTGACACCCCCATTCGTGAGGCTTTGAAGCCCATCGTCTCACAGAGAGGGCAGTTTGAGACGTGGCCGGAATGACGCTGCGACTTTCTTAAGATTGCAGGGGGGCGCAGTCAGGACCCAGGTAGATGAAGGTTTAAGGGACAGTCCCAACCAGAAATAGTTTAGAGGATTCCCGAAAAAACAAACATAATTTATCGGGGTGGTTGATAGGAGACCGTTATTCTCGCGGTCATTCCATTTCTCGTACCTTGCCACTCGAAATAGCAAGATAACGCCCAATGAACCTGCCAGGTTGATGAACCCGCCTTACCCCCAAACTACGAAACTGGCAAACATGGTATGCACAATAGTATATATACGTATCACTTTGGCAAGGTTTAGGGGCAACCAAAAGGCAAGCTTGAGAGGTTGCGGACGGGTTGTTTCGGCTTTTTACAGTCGTTCGGAGGGTTTCCATTTGGCAGGAAACGGGATAGGTTGCAGGGTCAAGACCGCCGTGTGCTAAAGTATGGGCCTAGGTTGTACAGGTGCTCTTCTCTAGGTTGAATATTCGCACGCATAGAAATTCGTGAGTGTTTTTGGAACCTTAAGGCGATTGCAGGATTGTAGGGTCCCCGAAACGAGTAAAAGCCGCCAATTGTTTTGAGGGCCCCCGCCCAAAATTCAGCATGTCCTCATGTGGTCAGAGGCA